TGCTTATCTTAATATCTATTAAGTCTACAGTACACTGTCCTGCACATTTTATTTTATTCTTATTTTTTATCTTTTTTTCCATACCTATATTTATATATACTTTTCTTGTGTTTGTATTCTTTAATAATTGCACGGTCCATGGAGCAGACCTGACTTACATTTAACTGCTGGTCATGTATTCTCTGTATAACCATGTATGTGACAAATAAAAATCTTGAATCTTGAATCCAGGATTGCTTGAATAACACAGATACCATATATTTTGTGCAATCGCATGTTTATTGTCTTCAGGTTTCCTCAGTTACAATTTCTCTATCTGCGTTTTATTCAGCTACAGCGATTACTGGATACTTTTTCCTGGAGCATTACTTCTACTATACATAAGTGGAGTTTCTGCACCAGGGCGCCCTCCGGCTTCCAGTATGAATTAAACAGTCATTACATTATGTGTGTACTCAGTAATGCTCCCAACACCCTATTTTGGGTAAAATAATACTTTTCTATAAAGAAACAGGATTCCCTAAATTATCGTCATCGATATCATTATCACAATAAATATCAGAAATTATCGTAATATAATTTTAAGCCCATATCGCCCATCCCTAGTAACGAACAAGCAAATAATGCTCTACTGAGACATTCACATGATTTAAAATAACCACAGTCCTATAGCGACTTTACTTAAAATGTGGTTTATACTAGCGTAAAAACAAATGCAGTAGCACACGCTCTGAGTTCAACACAGTTTTATGATTCCAAAAAGCAAAAATAAAGTCTAATTAAAGTAATAATTAAATATCCTCAGTGTCAGTTCACTCACATTTCCATAAGAACTTTGAAACATGGATTTAAGACATTTTAATGATAGTTAAGGTCTTATTTTTACATAAAGGATCTGTGAATGTACCACAAACAGTCATTAAAGATGAATGAAGAATAAACACCAACCTCCTTGTTCCTCGTGTTTTATTCTCCAGGTTTCTGGTTCCTCGTGTTTTATTCTCCAGGTTTCTGGTTCCTCGTGTTTTATTCTCCAGGTTTCTGGTTCCTCGTGTTTTATTCTCCAGGTTTCTGGTTCCTCGTGTTTTATTCTCCAGGTTTCTGGTTCCTCGTGTTTTATTCTACAACATTTCTAACCGTTTGTATTAAGCAGCATCACAACAAAACAACAGAGAGCGCGGTTAAACTAATCTTCTTCCTCTGAGGTGAAATGGTGTTTGGCAAACAAACGCATGTATTTTAGCGCCACCCGCTGGACTGGAGTGAGAAGCGGCGAGAGGAGAGAAATAACACGGGGAAATTACTTAGTGCGTCTACAGTATGAGGTGAGCGGACTTGTTTTCTTTTGAAATAGCCGATCTGCACAAATAAATTATAGGTAAAAATCCACCCACTCCTAATTTTAGTCACCTATAATAAACCTAATCAGTCTCACTAGGCCTGCCGTTTTATTCTCTAAGCAATATGACATCACATTGCTTATAGGCCATAAGGTGAACTAGGAAAAAATGTCTAGAAAGTGATTTTCGTTCCCACACCTGAGCACTACTTTTTCAATGCATTTTTGCATAGACAATACCCTTTTGGACTTTACGTTAAGTTCTCCGCAAAATATCCTGCAGTTTTTTGCCACAAGACATAAATGTATATAATTGTGAATTGAAGGAAGAAAAAGCAACTAAAATCTTATGCTGCTGGTTTTGCTTGTAACTTTATTTATATTCATTTTAGCAATGCAAAATACTGACATCTATAAATGTACCTAACTATTTGAGACCAGTATTGTTGCATTAGTATACTCAAATGTAAGTGCAGACCATGAAATATGGAAAATTCATAGAAAAAAAACAACAACAAAAAAACACTTCAACTTCACAGAATGTCACCAAGCATAATTAATGAAACACATCAAATTTAACAAAACTGTGATGTTTTATAAATGAACATTTTCAGTAGGCACTGTGTAATCACAGAAAGATGAAATAAGAAGTACAAGTTGGCCCAAGTTTGCTGAAATTACAACAACAACAAAAAAAAAAACCTTTCCCCCTTTAATTTTCAATAATGCCAAAAATGGACAACTCTACAATAGATTCATTACAGCTCAAAATCAGCCTAAAATATGACACAGCTCATCTTTACTCTTCAGTATACAAGATTAAATAAGAAGTACAAGTGGGCTGAAATTACAAAAAAAAATACTTTTCCCCCTTTAATTTTTAATAATGCCAAAAATTGACAACTCTACAATAGATTCATTACAGCTCAAAATCAGCCTAAAATATGACACAGCTCATCTTTACTCATCAGTATCATCCCTATCACTCTCATCAGAGCTTCATCCCATGTATCTCTTTCCTCTGTTTTCTGGGAAACATTTGCACAATATTGGCAGACATTAAGGTGACCAGACGTGCCACTTCTCTGGGACACGCACTTTGATGTCATACAACAATCATTCTGCGCAGCGCAAACAACCAACACCTGGTTATTTTAGGCAATTTAGAAATCCTGTGCAGAACCTGTTCCTGGGAAGTGGCACGTCTGGGCACCCCATAAATCAGTACAACACAGTCTTGAGACATACAGGAACATCTTTCTGTCTCACATTTGTCTTGCTTGCAGCTGCAGTGGACTATCTGCAACACACTTTCAGGGGCAATATTTCTAGTCACCAGGTCACGATCTCATTATGGCTGCTTGGTAGTTTGCCCTTTT